TAATAATAATAATAATAATAATAATAATAATGATGATGATGATGATGATGATGATGACATCAACTGAACCTAGGGCAGTGCCCAGGCTGAAACATTTCCTAAAGCTTCACAGGTCTTAACCCAGTTGGCAGAGAAGAAAGCTAGGATCTTGAACAACCGCATCTCAATTTTTGCCGTAAAATAAAGACGATCCAGTTTAAAACCGGGGATGGAAAGAAAAGAGTCCCGGTCAAATCTGATCGGCTTGGCTAACTCACTGAGCTATTCTGCTCCCCACCACCTGCTGAATAAACAGTTGCCACCGGGCCAAAAGGCAAAAAATAATAATAAAACCCCCAACCTCGGCTACTCTTTTGATTCCTTGTCTCCAACTCAGCCCCGAGAGAGAAAAAAGAACATTTATCATGTGGATCTGTGGCAGAAGAAGACTTCTAGGCCTCCACACCTGGCTTCCCTTCAACTAGCCATCACAACTGAGTTTGGTTCTTTTCCAAGTCAGGGAACAAAAAAGAACCAGAAATTCACATTTTTCATGCCCCGGGGGCGAGCAGAGCAAATAAAGCTACATTTTGCTTGTGGGATCAAACTCCCTTTCAGATTTCGTAAGATTAAGAAACCAAAGCTTATCAAACTAAGTATACAGGTATCTACTCCAGTTAAATATGGGTTGGCTATAATATCAGAGAATAAATAACCCCGCGTTCGCTACCCCCAAGATCCAATCGCCAACCTTCACAAGGCGGGGTATTGAACACAAAACCAAGGATTAAAAATCAGCGTCGAATGAAGGGTTGAGAAACAGGAGAAGAGAGGAAAAGGCTCCAGTCCCAAAAGGTTGCACTACAGTTCCTATCAGCCACCGCGCTCGCGTGGGCAGAGTTGATGGGGTCTGTAGTCCAACCCGCCTGGAAAAGAGACGGAGGAGAAGCTATTTGCAAATCGCTAGGAGAGGAGACGGAGAAGAGAGAGCAGAAGGGTTAAAATCCAGCAGCACCAACGCACATGCGTGTGAACAGGGTTAGAGAGAAGGAAGCACTTCTTTAAGACAAGCCAAGAGGAGTCTGGTTCATTAGAAAATGGGTTTGCCCTCTTGCAAAACAACCCGACTTGCTCGTCAGTGCCCGCCTAGCCTTTCTCAATCCTTCTGCCCACCGCTCCGTCCATCTTTTAAAACTTTCCAAGGGGGTGGCTCTTGTTCAACCACCCAGCGTGAGCAGGAAAAAAGAGAAAGGCACGGGGCAGATCAGCTTTTTGTGTTTCTCCCAAAATCAGAGAGGCCAGGATACCAGGGTGGCAAACTGACAGTGTTGCCCGTGAACTCTGCCCGTGTGGCCAAAAACCCATCCTCTCATTTCCTCCCATCTTCCAAATGAACCTGAACAATATTATCCTTTTAGCACGTCTTCCGTGTCTGAAGGATGGTGGAAAAAAAACCCCCAGGAACAGGCTTTTGGTTCAGCAGAGCAGACCCCGTGCAGAGCATTTTGAATTAATTCCAAAATGTTATTTGAAGGGGGCTGAGGGCAGGCAAAGCTCAGCATCAGATCAGTTTGTCTGGGAATTTATGTCGTAGGAACAGAAAGGGGAGGTTAGATAGGTGAGAAAGAGGAGGGAACTGTGAGGGGAAAGGATAAATTATCAGTGGCTTCTTTTGTAGAAGTGGAAAAATAAAATATTTTAAAAAGTCACTGCACCCAAACACCAAAACAAACACACACATCCCCGTGCGATCAAAAGTACCCCACCTTGGAACATGCGAAGAGTGTAAATTTAAATTAGTTTCAATCCAGTTTCAACCGTGATGCCTCCAAGTCAATCAGAAAAGGTTGCCTTGTTTCCTGGTTAAGGATCACCAGCAGCCCCCCCGCCAAAATTTCTATTTATTCATTAATTCCTTTAACTGATTGCCTTAAACTAATTGTAGCTATGCATCTGACCGGAGCCATGCTAGTCATGGTTTGGAAGGGCCCCAAACTCGAGGCCGCCCTCAAGGGGATCAAAGAATCGGATTCCCACAACCGTCCTGTCCCCACGGAAGCGAAGCGGAGTTGACCTGGCTGTAGGTGAATGGAGATATATGTGGGAGCTGTCTAAGAGAACGAGCGGAAGAGGAAGGAGGATGAAAAAGCTGAGATGGGAAGAGCAAGGGCGAAGCAGCAGGGGTACGGTTGAAGGCTTGGGTTTTCCGGGCACCTGACCCCCCCAAAGTCACTGTTCAGGCTCTGACCTTCGGGGCCGAGATCTCCGCTGACCCCCTGGCTTCCGCGTGGCCACGGCGGCTGCGAATCCCACCAAGCAGCACAGGGAGGTGGTGCCGAACTTGGCGGTCTCCACCCAGCTGGGAATGTCCACCTGCAAATACTTCTCGACCAGGTGGAAGCCCATCACCAGCAGCCACAGGAAGGAGGCAAAGGCGTCAATCCGTCGGAGCCTGGAATGCAGAAAGACCGGTCAGATGTCGGGACAATCAGAAGGAAGACACCTCGCAGGGCTGGTTTGAGGACAGGGGAGTGAGAAAACTGGGAAAGGATTCATCAAGGCTGCCTTTTGCTGAGCTGGGTCCATTGTCATTTTAATGGCAACTGTTTGATCCCCTTCCCTGCTAATTGCTTTCGGTGCCCGGTCAAGGAGGAAGCTGAGCTATACATTAAACGGACGTGCGGTCAAGTGGTTATCTGCAACTGCGTCATTTAGCCCTGAAGGTGTCACAACACCCTGCTCTGGGTGCACGGGATAATAAATAAGGTTGATTCCGAAGCAAATATTTGCCCATCTGGGTGGCACCACCTAAATGACTTTAGCAGCAGGCTAAACAAGGATTTAAAAAAAAAGAAAGTTGGGCTGGCTGATTGGGGAATTCTGGGTGTTGAAGTCCACCCATCTGAAAGCTGCATAGTTGAGAACTGTACATAGTTCATCCCAGCTGAATCGTGCCTTGAAAGGGGGCACGCCCTGCGTATGTCAGCCTTGCGAGGTGGTCCAGCCAAGAAGCACGCCCAGAAGAACGAGCCCTCACTTTATTGTAAGGTGACATTAAGAGAATCTTGCAAGTCTGAAAGCACCTCTCCCCCCTCGCCTTTACAGCCAAAGAAACTAGGGAGGGTCCCCTCTGAGTCGCTTCCCACGGCCCCATTCTTTCTCTGGGCTCAGCCGCCGCTTCTCCGACCGTTGCCCTGGCTGCGGCTCTTCCCCTGCCTCCCAAAGTCATTCCTGCAGACCATCATACCTGATCCGTCCTGCCAGCAACATAGCCAGGATGCAAGTGAAGAGTCCCAGGATGACCACGGCTGTTTGATGGCTCTTCCCGTAGGTCCAGGCTGCTTCCAGTATCTCCAGAGCTCGCGCCGAGAGCAACTGGACGCCCTCCTGCCAGCCCAGCGATTCCAGGAGGGTGCCGTTACGTGGCAGGGTCACGGGCGGCGACGGCCCAGTCCTGTTCCTCGACAGCCCTGGGCTTGGTGCAACCGGCGGCGTGGCGGACCCCGGGAAAAACGGGTCACCTGACCCGTAGAAGGCCATCACCACAAGAGTGGCGCAGCTGAGGAAGGCCAGAAATCGCAGCAGGATCACTCGCAGCGGGGTGGTGCTGGCCGCAGCAGAAGCCGAAGCGTAAAAGCTCTGCGGGAAACAAGAAACATCAGACGTGGCGGATCCGGCGTAGGTTGAGCTTGACCCATTTCTGAGAAACGTTTCGGAAGATTGAGGGGAGGAAGGTTGCTGGAACAGCGGTGAAGGACCTCCGTCCAAATACATATTCCCATAAAATATTCTCTTTAGGGTTTTGCATGCAGGGATCTGAGGTTAGCGTCAAAGGCCGACTGAGGAAGAGCAGAGCGGAACAATCACACCAGCAGAGCTGCTGGGATTTCACTCCCAGAATTCCCACGCTGCGCGAGAGCAGCTGAAATGCGAGCCTTCCAATGAGAAAAAGGCTAAACTTTCAAAACTAGAACCGGGGGGTGGGAGGTCCAAACCCCCTCCCCTGGTTTCAAGATGAAAAGCGCAGCGGCGACTTGGGGACCAGTTAAATGGGTCTAAAAGCCTCAGGGGCCTCTCAAGCCTGTTCGGAAGACCCCGCGAAGGCGAGATGACCAACTACGTGTTCCCAAGCTCTTTAAGCAGCACGATCAAAACCAAGCTCAACAGATAAACTTTCTTCCCACACTCGAGCTCAGGACTTCTCCCCGTCTTTTCAAACAGGGCCACGGCCTGTTCTCTGCCCCAAACGAATGGGGGCCACTTGTGGTCCTGGAAGGAAGCGCAGAGGCTGCCAAGGCGGGGTACCCTTCCTACCTGCATGTAGGTCTCGCCGGTCTTCCGGTTGTTGAAATGGTGCCGGAGGAGCAGGGCCCGAAGCTGGCGGTTCTGATGCTTGATATAATATTCCACGGCAGCTTGGCAGGGCCGGCAGAGTTTATAGGTCTGCTCCAAGTGGTGTTTATATACCTCGATTTCTTCATCGTATTTGCCCTGCCCGAAAAGAGAGAAACCGGAATAAAAGGCTGACAGCGTGAACCGGGCTGCAATGCTCAAGGCAGATCAGGCCAGAAGTAAACCGTGCTCCCATTTTACAGGTGAGGAAGACCGAGGCCGGGGGCGAAGCGGTTTGCAAAAGCCGGCCAGGAGGGGATTTTAATTTGCTCTCATACCTCTTCTCTGGGGGTGAAGGACGCCAGTTGCTTGATCTTCATTGTCTGATGGTTGTTACACTTCTTACAAAGAAGGACCTGGCTGCTGACCCACTGCTGGGGCTTCGTGGGGTCGTAGAAGGCTCCCGCCCCAGAAACAACGTGATTGAGATGCTCCATGTATTGAGCTGGGATTGGCTTGTTGTAATCTCCATTCTGAGAAGAAGTCAAGAGGAACAAAAAAGCAAGATTGTACCAAATCAATTTTAGCTAATCACCTTCAAAAACTTTACACCTTTTACTAACTAATGCCCGAGTTTGTTTCCTGTTTCCCCCCTCTTCCCTCCTCATCCCTTTTTCCTTGTATGCTGTTGTCTTCGGATTTTAAATTTGCAAACAAGGACTGTCTTGTTTAATACTAATCACACGTAAGTTGCCCTCGGGCATTTTTAAGATGAAACGAGGGGAGACGAACGCTCTAATAAAGGATTTTCATGGCCTTCCAGAATGAGGCCAGCATCCTCTCGCTGTTAGAAAGTTTACCAGGTTTAAGAAATAAATGGTAACAAGCATCTAAATGTCAGATTGAAATCTTTTCAGCAATCCCAGTTATTCAGAGCGTTCTGGATCCATTTTAATTTCAGAAATCTCAATGTTAATCCTGCTTTTACCAATGCTGAGGACTTTTAGCTTCCCTGGGGCTTAATTTTAGCTTCTCTACACCAACAGATAGCATTTAAGTGTTTGTACTGTGCTGTCATTCTGCTCAGTAACTTTTCTGGGAGCCTTTGGGGCTAAAGTGCATGATATTAAAACATTCCTAAATACATAGCTGCCTTTCTGGTTTGGTTGGGATGAGGAAAGGTCCTCAGATTTCATTAACACTTTTTAATTAATCAGGGTCAAACCCTTGCTTCAGTGGGGACCCGTTATATTGGGGGGAGTCTCTCGTATTAATTAATTTATCTCTTTTCTTTCTGTCTTCGGTGGAATTTAGGGTTTGGTCTGTTTCACGAGAGAAACATCGGACACCGACGTGCATCGCTCGGCTCCATCCACTGAAGAAAAATCAACCTGGATTAATTAAAAATCTTAATGCTTCAAAGGGGCAGGAATGCAGATGGACGCAGACACCCAGGAGCTTAATCTGCCAGGATTCGAAACGGAGACCGGCCACCCGGACCACGGTAGTGCCTACCTCTTCAAATCCGTTGTACTGCTCGCAGTTTGGGCAATCCCAACAATTGCGGTTTCCGTACGGCACCACCGTGTCCTGGTTACAAAACCAACAGTTCACCGTCGTGTGGGTGGGCTTCGTCCTGCAAGGGGAGAAGTCAAGATGGTGTGACCCCCGAGCCATCGAAGAAAGGGGGACCGGGATGGCAACTGCCCCCCCACCCAAAGTTGGATGGCTAAACCCTCAACCAGGGTTCCTCAACCTTGGCAACTTGAAGATGGGCGGACTTCAACTCCCAGAATCCCCTAGCCAGGCTGGGTTCCTCAACCTTGGCAGCTTGAAGACGGGCGGACTTCAACTCCCAGAATCCCCCAGCCAGGCAGGGTTCCTCAACCTTGGCAGCGTGGAGCGGGGGGGAGG